AAAGTATTAAAATCATAATGTTTTTCTTCTGTAGATGCTGGCTTAATTTTTTTAAAAAATCTCCTACTTGAACTTCTAGGAGGTTTTACAGTGTGAATTATGCAGTCTGAAACCTGGAGGTTTTCCTAGAAATGGTAGCAGGCACAACCATCTGAAACCATGGGAAATCCTACCTTTGCTTAAGAGGCCACAGTTATGTAGTTCACAGGGACAAAGGTAAATATTACTGACACTGCCTCACCTAGCCAACAAGAGAGAATGATGAGGCAAATTATGTTTTTAGAAAGAAAAGACAATATGGTGGGTTTTTCCCTCCCAGAAAACCATGTATTTTGAGCAGGCAGCAATAAAACACAAAGGAATCCAAAAGCACAAATACAGAGGCCTTTTGGATAGTTCACTGAAAACATCAGCTCAATATGCTGCAAAGGTCAAGGCGGCAAATGGAATGTGACAGACTATTAGGGAAGAAAAATTACAGACGATCTAACAGCACTGTAAAATTTGCAGCTGTGCAAACTGCAGATTCTGCCTTGAGACGGGTTAGGGGATAGCTGAAAGTTTGACAGTCCCACCAAGGAAAAGGCCACCGATCCTTGCAACAGATCACAGCCAAGTACAAAAGGGTAGGACCCCTCTCACCAAAATAAACAAATAAACCGGTAGGTACAATCCTCTACGCAGGATTAAATAACATAGCTTGGGTGATCTTGTGTGAGAAATCATCCTCCTGTCAAAAGCTCATTGCACATGGAATATAACAATATATTTTGAAGGGAAGATGCCTTTAAAAAAAAGCCTCAGGGGTGGGAATTGTCTGGCCTAACGTAGAGTCAGTCCTGATTAATATACAGGAGGCTCCCAGAGCTGTAGAAGACCATACAGACAGTTTCTGTCCTTTTGTCCAGAAAATTGCACAACTATAAATCACAATCCCAATAGTCTTAAGGCAAACAGCTACAGTCCATATTTATTTATCCATATTTATTGAATGTCTATTATGCATGTGGTTAGGAATGCAAAAATATGTAATATAATAACCATCCATGTTCCCATACTGAGGCAGATTTACAAGAAAATTATAATGTATATTAGTTCCAACCAGTTTTATCACTTTCTGGAACCAACCTTTAGTGAAGCTAAAGGAGTCTTAATTGGCCACTGAGACACAAAGAAGGAGTCACAAAAGAATAGCTCCTTCCCCCAAATAAAGAAGACATGGCAACGAAACTTGAGGAGGTGAAGGTCAATAACATTACTGTTTGCAAGATGTAGGCAAGGGAACAAAGAATCAAAATGGCGCCCGTAATGATTCCATGCCCAATTTTATATGTGGCATATATTTTTATACATGTCACGTGTCCAATGTACAGAATGGGCAAGTTTTTATTTGTCTGGTCACAACTGGCATCTGGACTTTTTTGACACTTCCCCCCACAACAAATCCTTCTAATTGTTCTGTCCCCAGCCAAAAACACCTTACATTTAAGTTTAAGTTTACATATGCAATATTCCATAACATATGAAGCCTTTCCTGTAGCAGCCCATAATTTATGTAACAGTTGCAATAAATTGCTCAAGAAAGATTTTTAATGCGATTCACCCAGCTTCTATACTTTGACATTTTCCTTGTGCAGACTTTTTAAATGCAAATGTTACTGCATATAACTTCCACTAGCATATTTTTTTATTTTTTTTTTACAGATTATTGATTGAGAAAAGGCAAACACTGGTCAATTTTGTTTGACACTAGAATTTGTGTCACTGTGAAGTTGGAATGCAGACTTTCAAATTTACTGCTGGCCGAAGTGATGATTAGAATGTCTTTTACATATTTAACAAAATGCAGATTTGGCATTTTTGTGCTTATTTGCTCTATTTGATTATAGAGAAGAGCTTAACATTTTCTGATTTTTCACTCAGGTAGAGTCATAAGAAAACCTTGATAATACAGCCGATTTTGAAAGCATGTTTTTCTCCTGTACTCTATGGTCCCTTCTCAGGTGTCACTTGACTCTTTATCCCCATATACTGGTAGATATGATCACTAAATCCAGGTGGTTTTATCTCCCAAATGTCTCTAAAATCTTCCATTTCCTCTTCATTCTCACCACAGAAATATAAAACTTGTCAAGTCCATCATCCTGTTCATCCTTGATTATTGCAACCTCATTTTCTTCAGGTTCCTGCTGATACCCTCAACATTCAGGTTTGCCACTAATCTGTTGTGAAAATAATCCTCCATTAAGATAGTGCTGTGACATTCCTAAATTGTCATCTCTGCCAGTTCTCTGTTGCCTGCTACATCTGATGTAAGCTTCTTGTATTATCCTTAATAGTCTTATGAGCTGACCCCTTTCCTGCTCCTGTCTGCTTTTCACCTTTAATTCCTGCCTTATTGGCTCATCTAAGCTCCCCATCAAACTCCTTCTTTTTCCCTCCTTTCCACCTCTGAACTTTTTATGTGGTTTTCTTTCTTCTTCTTCTTTTTTGTCAGTCTTATAAATGATGGTGAAATACAGCTGAAAAATATGACAAGGGAAATGGAGTGAAGAATTCTAATTATCCAAGATGGCAACAAATTAGAGCCAGCAAATGAATTTGTGCACCTTAATAACATATTTACTAAAATGACAAAATGGATGGGGATGTGGAAATATGGGTGGAAAGATAGTAGTAAATTAAAGAAAGAGTGGGATCTGTTGCGAGTATGCATGTTAACTAAAAGAGAAATTGAATAGGTGTAGAGACATGCTTCTTCCTGCTTTGTTACATGAAGTGAGACTTGTTATAGATGAAAAAACCTCAGGAACACAACTTTCTCTTCATAGCACACACTACAAACCGAATCAAGCAGAGATTAATCTAAAACCTTCTTCCTGCATGATAGGGACTGATTATGCCAATGTTTACTCAATGCAGTTCTTGTGAACATAAAGTCAGAACCTTCCCCATCTTGATTTCTGGTCTTTGTCTATCTGTTTTTGATTTTTTCTGTGGGGACATTGAAAATGGGGAAATCTCATTGACAAGCATTAATACTGCTGCTGCAGCAATAGCTGGATTTTGCTTTAATATCATTTTCTGCTCAATACCTGAACAGTGATCTCCTGAAATATCTTTGCTTGCTTTCTGGCCAAATTCTGATTGGCTATTAGTGTTTGCAATGAATTATTTTGCCTTTTGTGCAAAAGTGTCCATTACATTCTGGTGACTTTAATAATAAGAACAGCCACCCAAGTCCTTTTCCATTTAAAGTGTAAAATTGGAAGGTTGGAAATTTCTTGTGCTTAGAAAAGTCCCATTACATCTACATAAATAGTTGCTAAAAATGCATCTAATGAAGTACCTCAATATATTTGGAAATATTCTCAAGCAAAAACATATAAATATATACTCCTTTCTCTGAATTATAGAACACATTTTTAAAGATAACAAGCAGTGAAAAAGGACAAGTTTCAGAGGAATCAGTCCATTGGATAAATGTGCAAATAACAATACCTCTTCACCCAGAAAGTGATTGATAGCTTGATGTAACTTTTTCGTGTAAAACTGGATAAGCTGAAGAAGGTCGTTCTTAAACAGTTTAGAGTCTAGTTATTTATAAATCCCTTGTAAAATGAAATACTGTCCAGACAGAAACAATAAGATGGGAAAAGAACCCCATCAGTCTCAGTCCTATTGGGAGTGAATTCGGGAATCCATTTTCACTGGAATTTATGGCAGGAGGCTACTCACTACTAGCACGAAGATTTTAAAGCTTTAAAAGTTGGAAGAACCCATGGGTCTATTTTGGATTTTAAAAAATATATATATTGGCACCCATTGTATAGTTTAGTGAATTTTTCCTAACATCACCAGACTAGAAAATTATCCTATCCTATTACATGATTTTATATGTCTGGGCATTTATTTCATTCAGTCATTGTCTAGGCAGGGTAGGTATCAAAAAATAGAATTATTGGACATCTGTGAGATCATTAGATTCTTCTGTCTATATCTTGTTGGCCTTTCTGCTGTTATTTATTGCTATTGGTACTTGTGTACACTATCCCTAAATGAACAAAACATAATAGGAGAGTGATAGGCAACAGGAAAAAAATGCTTTCCTTTCTGTAGAGTTCTTTTGTAGAGAAGCACAAGGATGGAATAAGATGGAGTAAGGATGGTGTATAGCCCCCCCCAAAAGAGAAAAGATCCTATTCCATGAGCATCACAAAAGTGATGGTTGACACTTCTGTCAGACCAAGAACTTCTGGATTTAATTTCTTTAGAAGAGTTTGTTCAAAGTAAAACGGGAGGAAGCTTAGGCGTACAGAGTAAAATTTCCCACAGTTATTATGTTTAGCTTAAACTACACATCTATTTCGGGAGAAAGAGCCACCTGCCTTCACACAGAAGGCCTGCAGTCACCTCATTATTAATATTATATAGTGTTTTCAGGTAAACATTGAAATACTTTCTCAAGAAATCTTGAGCACTAAATCTTATTTGTAATCAAGCTTCCATTCAATCAAAGCCTTGGAAGATGATACCATAACAGAAATGATGAGGTGTTCCTTATGTAGAGAATGACACTTCAGTACATCATGTTGGAAGAGGTTTATGTCAAGCTTCCAAGAAGCCACACAGAGCATAGATTCTAGCAGGAAATAACACATCAGAGATAAAGAAAATGCTTTTTTTTTCACCATTCTTTGTTTGGACTAACAAAATTCTTGTTTCCCACTTCCATGCTTCATAGTATAATTTCTTTTATTGATCCTTTTATCCCTTAATTATTGTGATGTCACCTCCTTTAGAGTTTTTACTTATATCTCCCTGCATAGGTTTCCCTTCTGACCCCAAAATTCTTTGCTGCACATTCAGTTTCCTGCCTACTTCCTTCCAGAGCTTTACATCTTTGTTTTCTACACAAAAGAAATCTTAGTGGATTTCCTGTACCTCCTTCTTATACTGCTGCTCTTAAAGTGATAAAAATTTATAGAGCAGCTGGGATATTTTGGATACTGAAGGAAAGCCATCAACAAGACAGAAGCCGTCAGACTTCACAACCTTTTGGGATACTAGAGTTTTGATATGCTCAACTGCCTTCAACAAAGAGAGATAATAAGCTAGAACCTGCTTTGCCTCTTTTACCTTTGATCTGTTCTTCACAGCCTTCCAAGGCCACATTTGGTTTACAAACTTCTTCCACAGCTTTTAACATCTCAACATCTGTACTTACCGTCCATGCTGTTCTTGACATTCCCATCTTTTCTGTTAGCCTTTCTATATAACTCTTTTCTTTTATCTCACAACTTGTAATTCACCTTTTGACCCTACCTTGCCCTTTCTTTAAAAGATCTGGAAGAGCATATCTAAGGATACATGTCATCGTAAGATCAATAACTTTGCAAGGATTTTGTCTTCTGTTGGCATGCGTGGATATTGGGCGCATGAGCATACAACAACCAACAAGATTCCTTCATTTGTAACGACGGAACTTGAAACTGGACACTTTATAGAAGCACCATCCATGAAGCTTCTCTTCATTTTAGGTAGGTGATTTCCTGTTCTAAACAAAGATTAAGACTAAATTAGAGTTAGGAAAGAAACAAGGTTCTTTTAACAATTCAGAAATCCCTTTAGGGTAGTTGCTACATTTGACAAGTGCAACAGATATTTATCATCTGTAAGAAATGGCATGCAAGAATCTTTAAGGATTCATTATCATTGAACCTGGAGAAATTGTATTGTAATAAAGTACAGCCAAAGATTTATTTGTTTATAAATGGCCAGATTTGTTTTTTTTTAAATGTGTTCTTTGCATGAGAGAATATAAATAATGTATAATAATGCCACAGAGGATATGAACCAGTTCAATGTTAAATTTACACAGTTATTTAATCATAACCTTTAAAATATATCTATTATTGTAGTTCTGGTCATCCTTATTCAAGAAAGTAGCTTCTGATTTTCATGAAGCAATTGATCTTAGACTTGTATATTAGGACTGTGATCCAGAAAAGCAGTATATAGATGAATAAGTTCTCTCCTGTACAAATTGGTTTTACCCAAGCACTTCTTGATCATTAGGCAATAGTTTTTTTAAAAAAAACTGGAAGTAAATCCTACTGTATGTGATTTTGACTGCTTCTAATCAGAATGTTCATCTGTTCATTCTTTTTTTTCTTTATATTAATACCCACAAGCAAACATGTGCATATATTTGTATATGTAAGTGTGGGGAGATGTGTGTATATTGTGTATGTATAAATACACATACACATATACACACATGTATATATAAAATAAAGGAAAGAATTTTTATGATAGCGTGGAAAAAACAGCAACATCAAATATGACAGAGACAATAAAATATTCCTAATAAAAATATTTTCAAATGCTTACTCGGACATATAACTATTTTTAAGTAGAGCTTTTAAAAGTTTAGTCATGTGAATGTAATTTTGCATTTGGGAATAGGATGCCTCAGGTTCATACTAGTAAGTCCCAAACTTATTAAAATATACAGCTAGTTTTAAAATTCAGCATGTGGTTTTACTCTTAACATCACCAGTTTTGTGTTGCTTTTCATTCCCTGTAGTGTTTCTTGCCACCCTGCTGGATAGTTGCTATAGCCTCCAGAACTGTACCAACCCATGTCACAAGCATGCAAAATGTGAAGTTCGCAATGGGATCCATGGCTGTTACTGTAGCCCAGGATTCACCGGACCTGGCATAGATGCAGATGACAACAGTGGTTGCTATGGTGAGACACTAGCTTTGTTTGATAACTTATTCTCCTTTTGACTGCCTTGTAATTACATCAAGCCTCATATGGGACAACCCTAAATGTAGATGTATGAAGGTTGTTATGGGCAATATTGGACCCTTCTGCAAGTCATTGGGAAGAAATGCTTTGAATCCTGCCCAAGTGGAAGCACAACAGTTATCCGTTTTTAAAGCAGACTTTTTAGAGTTCCATGCAAATCTGGGAGAAAAAAAGGATACTGTTGTTTCAGGGATTAATTAAGCAGACTAAGCACGTGCTTAGGGCACCAGGCCCAAAAGGGGCACCACAAAAATGTTTATGTAGCCTAAGTTTGGCTTCGTTTGTACAGTATGTACAAAGGAAGGGGGGGGCACTGAGATTTGTCAGTGCTTAGGGCACCAGTGAGCCTTAATCTGCCACTGACTAGAATTAAAGAATCTCTTAAAGCAACAGCATCCATTCTTTTCAGGCTCACTCAGAAGCACAAACTTGTAAAGCATGCGGAGGTGAGGGGGGGAGACAGGGGTGCTGTTGGGTGCTGTGTTCCTACAAAATCTAAAGCATTTTTTCTGGATCATTTTCAGAATGTGAACTGCTGTATCATGTAGTTTGTTTCTGAAATTATGCATTTCTTATGGCTTGTGCAACTGCCCAGGGTAATACATACAATTCAGGCAGTGTGTTGTGATGCCATTACGGCTCATGAGAAACAACCATTAGCAGTATTAAGGTTTTCCAAACTGTGAATGGCCCATGTAACGCTTAGCACAGTTGATTGTTAGTTGGATGAAAAAACCAATGGCAATAAAATTATACTTTATAATGCCGGTTTTCTGGAAATTATATCCTGTGTGTTCAACTGTCACCTGCAAAGTTCTTACTCACTGTCACTTTACTTTGAAGTAACTTTCAGAAGAGAACTACCGGAGACAGAACCACTGGAGGATAATTATTTGTTGTTTCCTTTCTAGGTTTTAGGTGCTAATGAAAGTGATTCTGAGTTTTAATAAATGTTTAACCTGTCAGTCCTAGGCATGTTTATTGTCAAACGATTCCCAAACTATTTGGTAAAGTTCTCCTTACTGAATAAGCTTTTACAGGATAGCAATATCGGCCTATGATTCTGTGAACATTTTCAATGTGACATTATTACAGCTATTAAACTGCCAACATAAAAACACAGATTAAATATTTATATTTATGCATATTGTAAGCACATATAACAAATATAGAAAATAATCTGTGGCAAATACAACAGATGGCAAATTAATGGTCATTCTCGTGATTATATTCATGACACCTTCTATCAAATTGTAATAAATGTTGTTTTATGCTGTTTCTCAAGATATTGAGTACAGTAATATATTGCATTTTTGCTGTCTCGGCTAATTGTTTTGAAGTTTATGATTCAATCTTCACCTCCATTAATAGAAAACCAGATTTCATTTTAAACTCCCAAAATGCCCAGGAATGTGGTGGGATATACAAAGATGCAGCTTTTCAAGAATACCCCAAAACAGCATGCAGAATTTCTGATTATGTTTTATACATTTTTATACTTTTTATTATCATATCCTTCCCAAGGATCTAGGATAATAAATGTACCATTGTAATATTAATTAAAATAGAATTATAATAAATAATATTATTTTCATCACACAGTCAGCCAGATTTTCTGATTGGATTTGGCATTTTTATCCACTTATTGAGTTCTTCCCAAGGACCTGGCATAGGGAGATGTTGATGTTTTATTGTGTTAGATATCTGTTTTTCTTATTTTCTTTTTGTTGGCTTCCTTGAAGCAGTATTTTAACTAAAAGAAACACTTCCCGCAGCAAAGAAATATTATGCTTGAGAACTAGATAATAGAGCACTTTAAAATTAAAAGAAAAATGTTTTTTGAAGGCAGTAACAGTTTGGGGTTAATATTTTCTGTCTTCTAAGAACATATCTACGATCTTGTTGTAATTGGATAAGATCTTAGAAGGATTAAAAGACAGTCAGGATAATAATTAGCTTGAAGCTAGAATATGGAACAATGCTTTGACTTAATGTTATGTTAGATACTCTGGTCTGTGCCCCCCCCCCCCCCCCAAGTTCCATTTTTCATAGAGAGGGCTTTTACTGATTAGAGATAAATGCTGGCTTCATTTTAATTGATAATCTTTGTTAGCAGTTATTCTTCTATCAACACAGATTCATTTTCCAGCGCTCACAGGAATCTCAGTTCCCCAAATAGCACCCACAGTGAAAGCATATTAGTTAGATAGGTGTTGACATTCACTGTTTTACTGTTATTAGCATCAGTTTAACAATTTTGCACCTGTTCAGTAATAGCTAGTTTTTAATGATATTGTTAATGATGTTATTTAAATACTCATTTTTCCACTCTATTTCTGGCACTTTTTTATTGGAATAATCAAAGAAGCCACAGGAGCTATTGCTTACAAAAATAAAATTCAACCTTTGGAAAAAAAATATGATGGTTAAGAAAAGATCAAAGTTATCAATTTAATTTCTTCTAAGCTTATTCAATCATAAATCTAATTCTTAACTGTTGGAAAAAGCTGGAGACTTGCATCCTTAGTAATGCTTCAGTTCTCCTTGAGTGGAGTGAAGTGGCTGGGAGCCAATCTTTGTTATTTATGCTTCACCTTCTAGGATTCATTGCTTATCAGATTATGAACTGACTGTTAACAATCAGATTGTTAATTAACTATTAAGAGCAGCATGTTTCTATCACCTCTCCCTTTTGCAGAAAACATCTGCCAATAGCTTTGGGAACTTCTCCTTCAGTAACTCTTGATCCAATCTAGAACTACAATCTGTTTTCTCATGACAGTGACAGGAAGTGGCTTGAGTACCATATAACTTTTATTATTCTTCAGGCAAGTGGACTCTAAAAATTAAGAAGTTAAATTGCTGCCAAATCTCTAGGGCTTCTGAAATAACTCTTAAAACCTTTCTCCATGCCCCAGAATGTGAATCCTGAGAATGTTCACATATATAGTCAGATATATAGTCATATCTTCAACAAGAATACATGCATGCATCAGTATGTGCACGCTCTTTCATAAAATACACATGAATGCTTAATCAAATTAAGATTACTTTTTTCCAGTATATGTGCAAAATGATGCAGAGGGACAAAGGATGAACTAAATCACTTGTAAGCAACTCAGCAGTTTAGATTTGCAAAGAGCTCTTCATTTAATTTCGTTGTTAATTTCAAGCAACAAACTCAGATTTTTGGTAGTGATCCATTATTCCTTTGAGTATGTAAGAAGGGAAAGGAAAAGAAGAGAAAGAAGTTAAACAGGATGTGGAAAAGGGTGAGAAGGAATCAGATGTGGGCTTTTTATTTGAAGATTGAACTATTTCTGTAAATTATAATTACAGTTTTATATTTGATTTAAATCTAAATCAAATCTTTGCAGAAAATAGCAGAAAAATAGAATTTGTGCTATGTATAATCCCTGTCCAAAAACAATTCAGATACTGTTGGATATGTATGGGTGACAAAGAAGATAAATGAAATGCATAGTTTGGAATTTTCCCCATCCTTTTCCCCATATTAGAGATAAAAAGAGCTGACATATAGTCTGTTTTGTAGCTTTACTATTTTACTATTCCCTATCTTTTTACCTGCCAACTGCCAATTTTCTCTAGGAATAGCACAGTGCAGAATATTCAACTAGTAGTTGAATCATAGTGGTTTTTTTTACTTTCTAAAATATATCAGGACGATGAAGCAAAGTTGTTTGTTCAATTGAGCCCAGAAAACAGGCAATGTAGAGACACAATAGCACAATATTATTTTGCAAATATGGATCACAATTGTTATTCTTACAAAACAAATCAATTTTCCCTGAAAAATAGAAGCAGTTTTCCTAGATATCAAGAATAGTGTAGTCAAGTCTACTTTAATTCATATGTAGTTATGGCTCTGAAAAGCTATAGTATCTCTCTTCCCAAATACAAATCAATTGTGTTTACTTTAGAAGTAATTCTACAACTCAGGATATCTTTTTAAAGAACCAATGTCACAACATTTAGCATACATTCTGAAACACACAGACAATATAATGCATCAGACCTACACAATAAAGATATTGGCATCATGTGTGAGAATTGCTTTGCTTTCAGATCTGGTAACTTTTCTTTAGCTCTTGATCAAAAATATTAAGAACTGAGTATGCTGGTGTTTGAGATAATACAACAGTTCAGCCTATGTCCTTGAAACTAGGTATCCTAATTGCATATGCAAATTGTATGTTTGTACTGTAATCATAAAATGTATCATTAAAATAATTATTAGTCATTTCAGTACTTGGCTGTTGATGTTCCTTGTAATGGGCACTAATTTTCTGTTCTCTGTTGCAGACTTCTCTCTCATATCTCTTGCAGAATTTATTGACCATATTTATATAGCCTCTCACTTCACAAACCTAAATATTGAAGAAGTGTGCTGAAACCAGAGATATATTGCATCAAATATTATTAATATCAAAAAGATCAAGCTTCTTTTGCCTTTTCTTTCTTTGTGTTAGCTTTCTAGAATGATTTCCTTGGTTAATGTCAAAAAAAAATGTCCTTTATACTTGTCTTATACCTCTATACCTGTGGATTTTCCTCCACTAGTTGTTGCTGAGGGCATTGTTCAACTCTTTTTCAAGGCCATTGAGCCAGCATTGTCCAAAGACATTTCTGTGGTCATGTGGCCAGCATGATGTCACAGAGCACCGTTACCTTCCCACCAAAGTTGTACCTATTTATCTACTTGCATTTGAATGCTTTTGAGCTGCTAGATTGGCAGTTGTTGAGCTCACCCCATCACGTGGTGCTTTGGTCTGAAACCTGGGCTGCCAGCTTTCCAGATGAAAAGCCTGGCATCTTAACTACTGAACTACCATGCCACCATTAAAGCTGTTTAGGTTGAGAAGATGAATTACAACAGAACATTGATTTCATTCAAATGTCCTTGGACAACACATAGT